TACTATAACTCAAGAGTGTAAGAGAGACTCTTCGGTTTCAGTCTGGTACTATAACTCAAGAGTGTAAGAGAGACTCTTCGGTTTCAGTCTGGGACCCTAAAAAACACCTAAATACCTCATGAAGGGGAGTAGCACCAATGGGAAAGACTGAGAATGGCCTGGCTAAACATACTCTTTGGTCCCTGCAAAAATCTGAGGCAATTTTGTGCCAGACAAAGTTCACAGCTGAAGTTTCCATACTGCGAGTGACATGTAGTCACTCAGCCTGAGATAAAGGGTACTGTCTCTCCCTCTCTCTCTACTCWGCTTTCATGAGTGATGCAAAGTGAAACTTTCCATTTCACTGTTTTTTTTCTTTCCTTAAAAACCTGCAAAAGCATTTGTTTCCATTTGACTTTCATTTTGGGGAGGAAAAACATGCTTTGCTTCATCTTGTTTCAATCTGAAACCAGTCAGAGGGAGGAGGAAAAACTGACCTAAGGACATTAACTATTTGTGTAAACGACACCAATTCCCAGTCCAGCTAGCTTTTAGGAACCAAAAARAGTCAAACAAGCTTCCCTCCCCTTCACCCCTCTCCACCCCTTATTTTGCTGACTCTGTAGGCCAGAAGGATTTTGGGCTCTGAAGGTAGGCATAAACCATTGTTTACTGTACTATGATGGGTACACAGGCCAGTAGCTGAGAATTTATTGTGCCATAGCTGGCTCCCCTCCAACCAAATACAAAACAGATTTAACGTTAACCATGAGATCACATGCTTTTCTAACCTCAGGTGTTTCCAGAATTGAGGCCTTCATACTCACTTATGTTCCACTTAATTTTATAATTTTTCATGGCAATTCCTGAAGTTGACTTTGGCCTCTAAGATACGAGAGCACGTCTTAAGAAGGCAAAGCCAAATTCAGTTCAGTGATTTATGGCTGTTCAGTGGGTCAACCTAACCAGCAGGAAATTTGGCCCGTGTGGTGCATCTTTATTTATTTGATTTATTTAGATTTAATATCAAATACATGAAAAAACATGCAAAACCATGCCTATCTTGTACAGTAACAGGCCTCTGACAGATATATGGAAAAAGAATCCAACAAAAATCAGCAGCTAACCCACAAWAACCTCAAATAAAACACAGCCCCTACCTAAACTTCCGCCAACCAAAACTAACACCCATCCTCCATCTCAGTCCAGCCACTCCTAATGAATTGCTATGTTGTTTCATCCAAGTCACGTGAAAGCTAAAAGTTTACATTTCTTACCAGCAGAGACCAGCATTTGTGGTTGCACTGCTTYTATTGCAGATTTCACAGAGTTATTTGCTATACACTGTGATCCTGCAAACACTTGGTTACACCAGAGATTTTAGCCACGGAATTCTGTTCAGTTCAGGAAACGCTTYCCCCCACATCCAAAGTTATGTGCACACCTTCAAATTTGCAAAAACAGACATCACAGTGGTAAGAGGCACCACAATAAYAAACACTGTTATAGGCAATTAGCCATATGTCGGCGATTTTATCTACTGCTATAAACCCTGAGTGCTACCACAAGAAAGTAATTGGAATTAATTTGGACACTGTTTTACTAAATATTTCAAGTAATTATTCTACAGTAATCAGAACATCAGTTCTGATGAAGAATGTGCTGCATGAAATCAGGAAGGTATTTTGCTCCTACAAATGCAGTTACATTTCTTTCTCTCATGTGTGAAGAGTGGYATTAAGCTATGTCTCATTTCCAAAGTTGTTTGGCTTTCTGTTTTGTTTTACCTTTAATTGCGATTTGATTCACCCAGAAGTACCAAAAAAAGGATTCTTCAATGGGAATGCTCACAAAAATAAGGATARAACACATTTTCTTATATTTAAATGGAAATTGTTATAAAATTCAACAGCCTGCACACCTGTGTTCTACAAACTACTGCTATCATTAATGTAAAAAAGCAACAGGTACAGTCTGCTTGTTGTGATAAAATGTGAGCACTATTTAATTTTCTCCTGAGTACASATCATGGAAGTACTCTTACAAAGATACTGAATCAAAAATTCTGGTCATAAAAGGATGACTGTAGAACTGAGTTCACCTCAATGCCATATTGCCAGCCCTTCAACATAATGGCTGTATCATTAAGGATAACCTACTGCATCACGTTTCACAAGGATATAGACACAATGAATCTGGGAGACGGCGACCTCAAGAGTGTGTCCACTGAGCATCTGAACTGAAATTGCTGCTCAAAAGTTTTCCAGACCCTCTTTTTGAAGTGTTACATAATATGTAGTAAGCAGAAACAAAATTGTTCAARTGCTTTTAAAAATCCTTCTAATTGTTTATATTCACTTATGCTTTTAATACTTTTTATGTAACAATTTTAATTTAAAACCAGGTGATTCAGATTTTGAAAGAGCTTCCATGCCAGTAGCAACTGCACAGACTAGCACTTTACCACATCAGTGAAGAACCCATGCAGTGAAATAGTGTTTCTCCTAATATATAAAAACTGCCCAGAAAATCATAAGTTTAAAAAGTTTAAAACCTGCAGGTTCCAGAATGTAGAGTTATTTGGGGAACTCKATGCCACAGCCCCCACTGATGCCCCACAGAGACATCACTACAAAAAACTCATTAACAGCTTCTAGGATGGAAAATCTGTCATGAAATTAAAAGCAAAGGTACATTTGTGCCCTGGAAAGTCACATTCTACCAGGAATTGTGTGATGATACCAGAGTAGTATCATCACATGTTGTYCCTGTTTTAACATCAAGCACCTCCACAGCTGCTGAAACAAATTCCTACCTGGCCCAGCCCAGCCACTCTTACATTCCATGAAAACTTTAAATTGGGAGTGGAAAGACCTTCTTACAAATATAAACAATTTTACTTTCTCTTGTACATATCAGTATGGGGTGAAACTCTTCAAGTCACCTGGCACACACTATTGAAGTTACAAAGGTCACCTAAAACCTCTTCCCAACAGCAGCAGCTGGCACCGTGTCACACAAAAGGCAGAACGAAGGAGAGCCCACAGAGCTGTGCACAGAGAAACTATCTCCCTGTTCAATCTTGTTGGTTTGGCTATAGAGGCCAAAAATCACCCTCGAGAGCCCCATCTCATTGTACCCCACGTTTTCAGGCTACTCAGCAGACTCAGGAAAGATGCAAGCAATGCAAAATGAGCCCTTAATGTACATCAAAGCAGATCATTTTAAGAGCTTTCAGGCAGGAGGTCGATCAGCACTTACACTGCAGACAAAGCTCAGCGCGATCATTTCCAGGAAGTTATTYGATAACTGCTGTTAAAATGGAGATAGTTCCTGAAGGAAACCCTTCAGCTGTGAGTGATACCCCTTGTAAGAAATATGAACCTCAACCACAATCAACCCCAAACAGAGGGGAATTTGCTGTCTCAAGGCATACAAAGGATTTGAGCTATTTCTCCTTCTGCCTGCGGGAAGCTGTGGTGCAGGGAGGGTAAGTGGACAGCCAGGCTTAGGACACAAGTGAGATTCAGCTGGGGTCCAGCCCAAGGCAGAGCCAAGTGCCATCCACCCCACTGCTGGCAGCCAGCACACCAAGAGAGGAAGCT